CATAAATGTTAACTGTGTATTATTATTATAAAGTATATTTTTATCACCTTCTGATCGACACATGCAATTTGTTAATAATGCCAATTCGCATTTATATCAATTTCGAAATGGGAAAAGCGTATTATTCCCTCTCTCCCTTTCCACTTTTCGTTATATTTCTCTCATGTTTTTTTTTTAATTTTCGAATGTGTTCGCACAGCGCGCCGTGTGTTACATAACGCGCGAAATTCGCAACAATAACGTACGCTTGTGCTCGAACTGGTTCAATTTTTATGGACCAATGGAAAGGTGTCGATATTATTTTTATCGGGCCAAACCAGTATTTGAACTGTTGTGCATAAAGTACAGCACCAGATTACTTCCTGTAGGCACATACCAAATTTATGCAAACAGATTTACGTACGACTTGGAGAGAAAAAAGAAGCAACAAATTTAAACAGAATATTCAATGAGAATTGTTATATTAATTATTTAAAATATAATATAGGTAAAAATAAATAAATAGAAAGTGTAAATAAATGTGTCATCTTATGCGACAAGCGGATATCGCATAAGGTATTTTCATGAATAACACTTTTCCAAACAGAAATAAAGCTTAATTACATCGTCTGATCTACTTCGGAATTCCTTATTTACAATAGTCTTGCTACACCTTTAGTGAAATCCGTTGTGTAATCCGTGAAATATCTGCTACTCGTTAAGGTTAAATTAATCAATTAGCTATAAACTTTGTGTCTCAGAATGAATTAGAAGAAAAAAAACCTACTCGTTTCGCGAGTAATAGTAATTATATAAGACTTAATGCAATAATGCGCAGGAAGAAAAAAAGGTTTATGCAAACGGTTTTAAATCAGTTTTGAAACAATTCGGATCACGTCGCTATGCTCTCATAACTTCCTTATGTTGCGCAACAGATCTGCATATAATGTGATAATACGGGGTTAATTCGTGCATAGCTTTCAATAATAACATAATTTAAAAAAAAGTCGCACTTATTGTTATGTATAAGCCTCTGGTAAAATGTATGAATTTAGATCACATCGTGCTTAAGAAAAAAAAAACTTAACGATTTTAATTCTAGAGTTGATTTGTCATATCCTTGAAGCCAAATGACTAATATTGTAGATCATAACGATATAATTATATGTCACCTCTTAAAAATGCTTTTAAATCATTATTTAAGTGATGTTGCTTATTGTTATTATCTTAAGTTAAAGATATTAAAATTATTTAATTAATTGATAGATATTAATAAAATATTTAAATTAAAACTAGTCAATTTATTGTTTAAAATAACAAAAAGGAACACCCACATGGGTGTGTCAGAAATGATTTTAAAAACGAATTTGAAAGTAAAGTTTTTTTTTTACATACTTCTTGGTTGTTAGCATTTTTTTTATCATGTGGGTGAGTGGAGTGATGATAACATGCAGATCAAGTTACTATTATTGCAAAATGTGTATTTCACTTTTTGATTGTGGATAAACCGCAAATGGAATTGACAAAATAAATGTGAAAAACGTTATTGTTTGTATTTATTTAAAAAGTTTGATTTCTCGTAAATGAAATTTCGTGTAAATGGAAAGAAAAAATAGAATTCTTGCAAAAAGTTTACGCGCCAGTGCATTAGACATAACACATAAAGTCGATGACATAAGTTGTTACGTGAAAACAAGAAATTATCGAAAAAGAAAACACATTGTTAATGTGTAAACTAATTGTAATACCTAATTGGTTACGGTGATAGAATGTAATAATGTTATACAGTTTAATAAGTTGACAAATTATGGGTATAAGTAGTAGAATTAATGGGTTGGTAAGAAAGCAATTTTGGTTTACAAATGTATAGCATTATGTTAGTTTTGAAGAAGTTATATCAATGTTATATTTTTTTTTCCTTTTCTCATTTGAAAGATGTCAAGTTTAGCTTCCCTTAGAAGCTAAATTAGTGTAATTTTGTTTGAAGCTCTTAGTTTATAATCAATTTTAACAAGAGCGCAAAATCGAACATTTTTACTGTATTATTTCCGAGATTTTTCACTCAAAGATTGACCAACATTTTGGTCAATCTACTGAAGTTTACGCTGACCAAATCAAAGTCATAACTGAATCGGATCGTCATATAACGTCATATAAATGTATCAAACACAACATCGGTAAATCACTTAAATGTCTTTAAGAATCTGGAAATTCGATTTAAAAAAACAGAAATTACTTTCTTGTCATCCCAATATTATAAGAAATTAATGGTGGATTCGAAAAGAAGACAAGAACGGCTTGGCAATTAAATATTTACATTGTTCTTATATAATTAAGAAAATAATTAAAGGAATGTTTATTAAGAATTGATAGAAATTAAGCAAATTTTGTTGCAGTTATTAAAACAATAAATTGCAAGCGTGATATGTATTTTATAATTGCATATTGAACACGCTGAGTAATTTCAAAAAAATAGCAATTATTTCTTAGCTTAAAACCTATTATTATGACTATGTCTGATCTACTCATATACCTGAATTCCAGTAACGTGACTGTACTGAAGCCGGATATATTAGTGATACGGATGTGTGCAGTATTAGCCTCGTAGCTTTGTAATTTAAGATCATTACTAAGATTTATTATAATTAAGGAACTTTAAATTATTTCAAATTTATTTACATAAATCTACAATCTGAAATGTGTATCTTGATTTGCGTATTTCAACTTCACTACTTTGAGTAAAGACATTGATTAGTTACTGATGTTTTGATAATTAAGAAAAACTACTTCCTTATAATTTACTTTTATTTATAGTTTACTTTAACTTTTTATTTTGTTTCGTTCTTTTAATGATTTAATTATTTTGATATTATAAATTTGAGCTGTCACGAAATTCGAAGGATATTATTATCATAGAGGTTGTTAAACTTAAGCACATTATGAATAGTATTTGCTTTATTTTATAATTTACTTATTTTGGAGAAACTAATGAACTAAAAAATGAAATTGGGTATTATTATTATAGATCGACCTTCTTGAATTCGATTATATAAGAAATTTGTATATTCGTGTATGTAAATTATAAGCTTATTTCAATATCAAGAAAATGTGTTTAATAGGTTTTAGAGCACGAATATCAACCGTTCCGTCCCATTTCAACAATTTAGTAGTAGAATCGCCGCAAAATGCAGATTCCGCCTTTATGCATATTCATGGGATTCCGTTTAATGGGCGACATTATCAATGCATGAAATTGGATTTTAAAATAGATTCGATGTCTACATAGGAAAAAAAGAGACTCGCACTCTAATTTGACTTTTTTTAATTACTTTCGGTCGAAGCGTTCAATATTCATATTATGTTCGAACACGAGTTTGTTAAACTAATTTTTGTTATATAAAAAAAAGCTGAAGTAAGTATAGGCTATTAAATAATCTTATTGTATTATTTAACCTGAAAACTACTGAATACAAATGCTATGTTTTTTTAGTATTAATGTAGTAAGAATATATATGTTTACATGCGTATATAAAAGGCTGCAGCATTAGTTTATTTTAGTAATTATTGTATATAAAATATAATGAAATTTTTATTTATTTTAAGAAATTTGTAATTGGAATTCCTAAAATTTAGCAATTGAGAAACAAGCAGTTTTTGTTCCATTGGGTGACTTTTGTAACATTGATGGTTCTTGAATGAATTTTGCAATATGTAAACTCACCAAGGTTCAAGTTCTTGTGCAAAGGTTATTATTAACAAATAACTATGTTATTTTGCATTATATAAACCTGTATCTTCTATCTATCGCTTTTAAAAGAACATCGTTGATAAATTGTAAATATACAGGATTGCGACGTTATTGTAACGACTGTGAGCAAAGTTCTGCAGGCAATTAAAGGACAAAATGAAAACGGACGTGCACTGCTCGCTCCTTAATGGCATCCACCTAATAGAATTATACACATAAAAGCTTGCACCGCGCAAATATATTAACCTAATCGTACCAATTTCCAACTCTTTCCGGTAACATTTTCCTTGTGTAATACAAAACATAATTTGTAATAAGCATCTCATTTGAGTCATTCACCTTCGTCAAATCCTGTTCGAATGTAGCAGAGATGAAAAGAAAAAAGATGAATATAAAAAAGCAGATCAAACATCCATTCTAGGTCGTGGAACCAGGAAAATACGTGAACAAAATCAGGCGTGGTTCTGCTCCTAATTGATTTTTAAGATATTTCGAATTTCCATTAAATTTTATTCATACAGAACATTCCTTAAACAATTAATTCTTTACGTTAGAGCGTAACATCATGGATGATGTTTTTTAAACAATAAACTTAATTACAAAAGAAATCGCTGTACTTGTATTATTCCATCGAATTTTGGAGGAAACATGAAAGAAAAGAAAGTCGCTTAACGAGCCTAATTTTACCAATTATCCTTCCGAAATGTGATTTTACTTCGTCTCGCTCTGCTTTTGCCGCATTTTATACCTTTCTATACTTATATGAATATTCAATATTTGAAGGTTATTATTTCTTGCAGTCAGATAATTAAAATTAACAGCGAATAGTAATAGAAAAAATAAACAATTTATGTAAACTGTTTTAGTTTTTTTTTAATTAATAATTTCTCTTTTTGGTGAAAACGTACAGTCGATTTTCGATTACCGGATTTGGACCCATACATTTTAGCAGCTGTCAAATTACTTCTTACAAAAAGAAATGAAAGTTTTGCTTTAATTTTTACTACTTCATAAAACAATGATATTGTGTACTTATTGTTGTTTATGTCCAAATTAGAATGATATATTATTAAACTTAATTCATGTTATTGTTTATGAGAATGCATTAGATTTAATCAAGTTTTATAGAATAATTTATCACAATTGAATGGATAGGAAATCCCACATGATCCACTCACGAATCGTCTTATTACAGTGGGGAATAATAATATTGTGTAGAATTGATTGTCTCTGTATGTGTTTGTGTGTGTGTATACTTTTTTTTTCGTTTCAGGTTTTATACGTCTGCAATGTGTTTTTTAGTAAGTGTAAGGGAAAGTAAGTTTTAATACATACATATTTTGTATGTGTGTGTGAGAAAGAAGTAGGGAGTACAAATTGAGTAGAACCGCGATGACCGAGAGAAACCAGAAGGTTTATTCCTGCAAACGATAGTTCTTCAGCGGCACTCGCGGGTGTTGCGACTAGTGTCCTAGTGAATACCTTGTGGATACCTTGCTCATGTGTGAGTATACAAAATTGTACAATTTCTATCAAAAATTAAATTTTTAATTTCATATTTAATCATTTATTTTAAATGTTTTACTATTATTTTTTTTATTAATTATACTATAATAATTTTAAATTATATAAAAAATAAATACAATGTGTTTTGTTTTCATTATTAATGTTAAAAACTCGTGTTTTAAATTTGTAGTAAATCATACTTTATATATTTGTGTTTACTAATAATTTTTTGCATTAATTTTTAACTTCTTAATATTTTATATATATTTTTTAAAGAAAATTAATTATTTATATTTAATTAAATACAAATAACATTTTTAATTATCTGTCCATCTAAAAATATAGAAAATAATTAAAATGTTTATTTGAAATTTAGCATTTTAAATAACTTTTTTTTTAATTCAAGACTAAAATTTTATTAATAATTAAATTCAATTAACAAAAAAGGAAATATATGTTTTGATCTAATAACAGAATAACTCCACTTTTGAATTACTATGTTTTTTTTTAATAAACTAATTAAAATCTATTTTTTTGATAAATTGATTACATTTTTTAAATGAATTATTTGTTTTTTTATATATTTAAATAAAATATATCAAGATGCAACAAATGCTTAATTATAGAAATAATACATAAAATCAATTTAAAACTAATAAAAAGAAAAACTTTGTTTGTTTTTCGAATAAGTTTAAAATCATTATTCTTCATCAAATAATTTTAATTGGTTATTTAAATTTTAGTCCTTCTTTATACAGATCATTTTCTATAGTCACGAACATGAAATGATGTTGCAATTAGATTTTGTAATATTACAATTATAAGCGTTGCGAAACGAATGACAAATAAATGTCATATATAAGAGTTAACTAGGTGATATTTACAAGATTTGTTAAAGGTTACAACCTTTTGAAGAATCTAGTTAAAACTTAAGAAATTTATACAAATATTTAAGTAATATGATTAATGGCATAATCTATATTTATTTGTATCCATTAATATATATTATGCGACAATTTCTCATTAATAGTTATAATTGCAATGAAAGCATTGGAGATGCTAGAGAAATCATTTAAAGAAATGCATACTAGATTTTTATATAAATTGTGTTAATAGTATATAAATGATTACGTATTCTATTAAAATTGTAGATTATTAATTGTATTTGGGTAACTATTTGAGACTCGAAAGTTGAGGTAATTAAATGTTAGTTCAAATTTACATAACACGCGAATATTAATATGCAGTTGGTTTGCTAACGATTTCTGCCAGTTATGTCAATAGCCTTCAGGAAATTGGCAGGATATTAAGTAATAACAGTTAAACTTGCTGCGAATTGGTGAACGCATTGTTTCCAATTGGGCAATGACACAAGAAGTTATTACCTAAGGAAAACAACAAAAATAATACCATGAGAATGGCGACTCTGCAAAAACTTCCTAGTTATTTAAATAAATTAGAAAATAGAAATTCCTAATGAAACATCCGGTGTTCCGACAGCAAAAAGAAGAGGGATACAATAAAACTAGAGATGCAAATTCAAAATTACGACGTAATCGAGTTCGATTTGCGCGATTTTCTATAACGCGATTTCGCTTCGGAGCGCCGCCGGTTTTCAGTTCAATCCAATTGAGCGAAAGCTCGAGCTTTTCACGTTAAACTAATCTATATAATATTAATATGCATCATCCGGACGCGCATGCAAAAGCATCGCATTTTGTCCGCCACAATTTACTTTAATATTGATGTTACGATATGACAAGCTAATGGGTCTTCATGCGGCTTCATCCACTTTTCAAGAGAACATACGGAGTAAAATTTCTCTCCGCTCGTCGATTCCTTTCACCGTAAATTACAAACATATAAAATGTACACATATATGTGCCAGGAGACTGGTTGGTATACAGAAAGAAATTGCGTTCGATCACAAGGTCGACGCATTATTCCATAAAATGCCTACTAATTAACTACTTTTTACCGTTTCAAATGGACTAAAAAAAGGCAAATGCAAGTAGTTAATACTTATATTCTATACCGAGTGATTCCATCAATAAATTTAATTACTTATATAAGTTTTTCTAAACAATTAATCAGATATGTAAATGAGCCATTAAATCGATTATTAACAACAACAAAAAATAATCAGAATGTTACAGCTTATTAATTTTCACTACTAATCCTGATGCTTCGATTTTATTCATTTTCACTTTCGCAGAGAAAGTATGCATAACCCGCAATTATTGTTATTTATTTGATGATTATCCATTAGCCGATTTCATTAATACACAATTTCCGTTCTGCTCGAGTTTCTCTTATTGTATATTAGCAATTAAATAATAGCAAATAAAAAAAAACAATTTTTTTAACTCATATTTCACTTAATTCTTATTGGTTAGAAATTTGCTGTAGGCAGAATTATTAGAAAACAAAAATTATATAATTTTCTTGCTCATTCAACTTTGTTCAATTTGGTTTTTGTATACATAATTATGTAATTTTTTATGATTCATTTTGCTTTTTCAATGTTATAAAAATAAGAAATACAAAATGTAGGTGTACATAGAAATGTTGTTCATTATTAAGCAATGTTACTTTACATAATTACATCTTGTTACGTTCATTAAGTAAATTTATAAAGATTAAATAAGAATCATAATTAATGATGATTATCTTATTAACATAACTTTATATATTTTATAACATTAATTTAAGTAAAGATATTTTTCTCTTAATTTTAACAGTAGTCTCAATTTTACAACATCTTCATTATCTATTATTTTCTAAAAATAATAATACTTTAATGAAAATTACACAAATTAATTTTAAATGATATAATCAATGAACAAGGACAATTTTAAACGTAAATCACGCTGTATATCGTTTATTACCCAATGAAGCAATTAAACGTTTCTCTAAAAAAAAACATTAAACATACAGATTTTTTGTAGTTCGTTGATTATTGTGATTACTTGCACTTGTTTCATAAATATTATTCGCATTTATATGCAATGTCATGGGTAATGAGAAAAATATCGTGCATTAAGTATGAAAGGCCGTTCTCTTCTGCGGTGCCCACAATTAGACACATAATATTGTAGCATTGAAATGTTATTCATTTATATACAAAACACCAATTAGTCATCTTCCAAGGATATTCGCACATCGTTACATACCATTCTTTTAATTAACAATAACATTATATTTTGTATTTCTATTGATATCAACAATGAATGCATCACAACTGTATTGGAATTCTTTCGGTGAGCAAAGTTAATTAATTAAAACGAGACGCAACACAAAAAAACAATTTCAATTACAAAATTTCTGAATGATTCATCGTATCAGAATGTTATTATATAATGCAATTATTGCAATGCGGAAACAATTTGTTAATAACATATTTTAAATTGATTTAAAAATGAATAAAAACTTCCTTGAAAATTAGATAGATATTTTTTGATACACTTGATTATTAATTAAGTAACCTTTTACGCATTTAATTAAGTAAATTAAGTTCTCATTTTACGAATAATTGAAATGAAAAAACAAACAATTTTTGTTTAAATTACAACAAAAAGTAAATAAAGTTTTAAACCATTTTCCATGTATTTAACACTTTTGGTATCGATTTCGGCTCGAACATGACACCACTTTACACTCGAACATAAAACGAAGTACACGATATTTACAGTGTTTTTACCAATGTTTCAATAAAAAAAATATTATTAATCTCTTGTAATTAATATTATTTTATAACCCAATAATTTTACACAACAAATATTTTTAAATTAAAAATTCTAAATTATTAGAAAAGGTGTATTGCATTTAAAATATTTTCATAGAAACTCATACTATTGCTTTATAAATGTTTTAATAAGTTTCAGAGAGTAATTTCTGTCTAGCTTCTTTTTTTTCTTTAATTACGCAGACGTCGCTCTTCATGCGAATCTTAATTAAAAATGAACATTAAATTTGCTGCAACATTAAATTTAATAGTAATTGTACGGAAATGAATCGATTTGGCAAATAATGCTTGACAAACTATGAAAGCAATGTGCAGGAAACGGAAACAAAGTAGATATTCAATTGTATGCAATGATAACTTTATAAACATATTTAAATTACTGTTATTTATTTTAAATAGGAATTAAATCCGTAATATTAATTTGTATGTAATTAGTTAAAATTATTATTTTATTATGAAATATTGTTTGAATATTCGTTTAAACATTTTTCTAATTTGTGATTCGATTTTCGTTTGCATATTTAGAACAAGGTCAATAATTTAGAATGAAACAATAATATTTCTCAATAATTTCTTAAAGGATAATAAAAAAAAATAAAACTTACATTTACAACAAGTAAATGAAAATTGATTAATTATTGTATTGTTATGTATTTCTTGTTATGTAATTGTTGTATGATTAAATTGAAAAAATGAAAGTTACCAAAAAAAAATACGGATTTCTCGCGCGACAATCTGCTGGATTTAGAAATTCAGCGGAATTTGTGCAATGAAAACAAAAAGAAACCGAACTTGATTCGTAGCCGAATGCTCCGCAATTAATTGATCGACTTTCTTCCGTGCTTTTACTTTAATTACTTATACAAGTAGTAAATACAATGCGTCTGCGTTTGATGTTTGTGTAATTTGCAGAAGGACGTGTGCTCGTCGATGCATGCAGAACGCTGAATACGTAAAATTCTTGGGCGTCGCGATGATTGGCTTCAAACTTGATATTGAAAGGAGAAATGCAGCATTGAATGATCGACCGTTGATATAATATGAAAGTTATGCGCATATTTAATAAGTTGTTCCGGTTTAAATACTATACTTCCTACCGCATAAAGTCTTGATCAGACACACCTTCGATACAGTTTCATAAGACGTTATTTAGTTTCACTCGATCATAAATATTAAAAATTTCAATGTTGTGAGTGAAGAAAAGTAACGTTATATTTATTCTCTTCTGTTTTTTTTTTCGTTTTAGAATGTCTCAGTAAGGAAATTGAAAAGAAAGGAAGATTAAATAAGCAAAGGATCCAAGATGAAAATCGCAGTATTGTTGAGCGTTCTCTCCGTAGCGTTGGCCCAGGATTGGAATCCGATATTGCCGCACGAGTCGTACGAAAAGAACCATTTCCCGTTATCGCATTCATTTTCCAGTCTAGTTTCGCAACAATATGAACCGTCTCATTCTCAAGCCCCAATTGGCGGAGGCCAATGCGATCTCTACAAAGTCGGCTTCTCGCAGGACCTCTACTTCCAATACATTCAATACAAATTCAATATGCCCGAACTGAAGGAGTTCACCCTTTGTTATTGGAATAAATTCACGAACCACAGCAATGACCATCCAATTTTCTCCTATGCAGGTAAAACGTTTTTGTTTAAGTCATTACCAAGAAAGTGGCGGAAAGGAAATCCTTTTTTTCTGTTCGTTAATGTACGGTGAATGTTTCACTTTCATGCCACTGGAATTGGAACGCGTTTAAGATTTATAGTTTCGTTTCTTTTTTTTTGTATATATTCGTTTGGATATAAAGCGCATTTTGAGTTTTACAAATTAGAAACTGATTGATTATAACGTTTTTTGTTTTTTGTTGTTGATAGTTGATGGTCAGCCGAGGGCTATTTACTCGTGGATATCGAACACCGACCGCTCGAGTTATTTCAGTATGTCTGTAGAGGGACAGACCATGTATCGTCTGAATTACCCATTGAGATTGAATAGATGGTACCACACATGCCAGAGCTGGAACGGCAAGACCGGAGAATGGCAAATTTGGGTGAACGCTGAGCGCGTAGGCCGCGGCTTCCATAACAGAGTAAGTTGAAATTTAATTTAGATCGAAATGAACTTTCTAAAGGAAATCTCACTATAATCGTGCATTTTGTAGCTCGTTGGTCACACCGTCCCAGCTGGCGGTGTTGCAATCTCTGGACAGCAGCAGAGCCAAATTGGCGGTGGCTTTTTAGAAGGCAAAGACGCCCCAAGGGGATCCGGAGGAATGCTCGGTGAAATTACACTGCTTAAATTATACAGCGTAGCTTTAACAGCTGGTAAAGCGCACAAGGATCACAAGCATCACCACGTTCATAAATTCGACCATAACGGTGCTGAAATTACCACGATGCCACCTCCGACTCCAGCGCCGAGACCACCTCAACCCACTCATCCTCTCTTAACCGGAGGCCAACTGAACCCAGGAATCGCTCTGACCATTGCCGCTCAACAGCAACCTCAGCTCGTCCAAGGGCAACAGTTCAACGCTCAATTCTCCAACGGTCAATTCTCCTCAGGTTTCGTCTCTCAACAGTTGACTCAATCGCAATCCCCTCAGACTTTCCAACCACCGCAACCTCAATCCCAAATCCAGCAACTCTTCCAAGGACAACAACAGCAGCAGCAGCAACCCCAGTCCGTGCAGTTTATTCCTAATGGCCAAAACGACATCGGTTCTTATTCTCAACAGAGTCTTTCAATTGGCGGAAGGCCATTATTAAACAGCGGATTAGTTCATCCGTCCTTAAGTCAATTGGAAACGCACAATTTGTTCAAACGCGAACACGGAAAGTTCAAACGCCAAACTAACAACGCCGACAAACACAAACGCGAATTAGTTTTATCCGGAGGACATATCGTAGATGATAGCATTTTCGCCGGCGATTTCGATCAGAGTTTATTGGACGGTTTGGCTGGAATTGGAGAAAACCGTCCAGTTCTTCAGGAGCAAATGAAAATGGAAGAGCGCGAACCGGCTGAGGCTGAAGTAAAGGCAGTAATGAATGTTTGCTCTGGATGCGATGCCGAACCTTTTGCTAAGGCCCTCATCTTCGACTGGAGATCAGTAGCCAAGAAGTTATACTCCGGCGCTGTATACACCCCAGCCAGGACGGAATGTAGAGTATTTTAGAAGATAAGTTAAACTCAACATCGTAAAAAAACTGTACATAGGCATTTCGAAGTAATTACCATTTGTTTTCTTGTACCAATTAATTTAAGCGCATAGTATTTATAAATGTTTATAGTTGAATAAATATTTTTTTTTAATTAAAACAAAAAACAACTAGAATCCTACCTTGCTTTTGTGGATGTGCTGATGCTGGTACTCCGAATCGAATTCCGGTTCGGAAAAGTAACTCGGATCCTCGAAGTGTCCAACTCCACCCGATATTCCGATCCCAGCTCCTGGAAGTCCTCCACTAACATCGGCCGATTCGAACAGTCTCAGCACAGAGCGATCCCTGATTTCCCTCAAGTGCGATCTGAAAGTAAACGACGATATGAATATTAATTGGCGCAAAGAGATTCAAATTAATTTACCTTAAATCTTCGAGTTCGTAGAACATGTCCTTTGACGAATCGTGGATGTAAATTTTAACTTGTGGAGAATCCAAGTACTCCATAGTTAATTGTTTCGGAAACGATCTGACGAACAAAGCTTTGACCGTGTCAATTGAGGTAATTTCATTGGGCAGCAAAGCGCGCTTCGTCTCGTTCCTGTATTGAAGGAACACGAGTCCTGCAGAAATAAATAGAAGAAAAAAAAACACAAAAATCAATTTCAATTTAATTAAGCGTAATTTAATTTACACATTTCAAGTTGACGTGTGCGAATTTATTCGGTACTCTGTGCGTTTAATTTATTGTTTTATTGTAATTTAATTCTGCAATTGAAATGGGTTTCAATTAAAAACACATAATTTAAAATGGAAAACATTCCGCGTCTCGTACAGCTCAAGAAATTGAGTGACAATTCCAGTTCGCAGCGAATTGTAAATAGAGTAAAATGAATCCTAGCACGAACCGTGCCGCGAATTCGCTCGGAAATGAATTCCTCCTAGCGGAAGAAATTTAAACAGAGATGCAAAGCATCAATTTATTCAGTCCTTTTTCACGCTCATTAGAATCTAAATAAGGAAGTAAAATGGTAAAACGAGAGAAAAAGGGGAGAGAACAAAAATATACATACCCAAAGGTCTTTCGAGGGTTTTGCTTGGAGTTCTGACGACGGGCAGAGAGCTTCTCTGCTTGCCGCCGCGCCTGAACCCTGTTGAACTTGTCTCGACCTCTGACATTATTCCCGGATCTTCGTCGAAGAGCATAGCGTTCGAAGGTGGCGGATAACCCCTGGCCTGGCCCTAAAAGTTCATTTATATTATATGCTTATACTTATTATATGCATCTAGCGTGATCTTCGTTGACGGTCATTACCTTTCTTAGTCTTGAAGAGCTCATCTGTTGAGCAGCGTGGAACAAAATCCTTACATTAACAGGGCTATTTGTATCTACTGATTTAGGTTTCTCGTCGTTTTCGAAATGTACGGACTTCTTTTGTCGCGGCAAACTAGATTGGATATAAGTCCGAGGACTCATCTCCAATTTAGGTGGCAAGGATATAATGCTTTGTGCGGACATGGGTGGAGATAAGAGCGCGCGCGAAAAGCAACTGATGAATTTAATTAATGAAACAACAAGTCGTGGGTCCGGCAGTTCGGTCGCCCTCTCGATGATGATGATGACAACAACAACACTCTAATTGACTGATGTCATATATCATGCAACCCTCGTTAATTAAATTCCCGTCCATAGACTGAAGCATATATGAAATGGATTCTTTACCTCGAGGTCCATCGTGCGTGAAAGAGGACCTCCTTGTCCTGACATCGCACCGTACTGATGATCCCCTGTCAATGTATGCCTTCGAGAATCGTCCCTGTTGCGATTGTTGCGACTTCTGCTCCTCGGGTCTGCTTCGGACTCGCTCCTCGCATTCCCTGCGAAAACGAAATAACGAATGATAATACAATTACTCACTTTTCATTACCGACTACAGCAGCTAAATGGCTTTGCCAAATGATAATAACAATTACGATTCAGCACTTGCTGATACGTTGCTGTTACATAAAGCCGTCACTTCAGTCCGCGCCCAGTGCCACTGTATGTGTGTGTGTATGCATCTGTGCGTGTGAAAATATGCATTGCGACTTTTGCCAGCATCAGCAAAACCTCTGCCAATTTAATAAGAGACCAAATGATCAAACTCCGTTGAAAATAATTTATTTACACTACAACTAAATTGCACGAAATGTACTTCAACTTACTACGAGCGCGCAAAACAAACACAATTCAACACTTTGATATTATACAACAAATAAAATGAGCAAAGACTTTGGTCGATAGTTATTTTTGTATCTATTTTACATTATTTCAATCATTATATTATTTCTTAAATAATAGTATATAATTTGTATAATTTTCCATGTTAATTGCAATAAGAGTAAATTGCGATAATACTATCATAAAAATTGTGTAATCCAATTGAATCTAATATAAATATAAAATTTATTCTATCGTAATTTGAAACTTTCGAAAAATAAGTCTGATATAACACTACAGGTGATTGGAAATGAATTTATCGAATATAAATGAATGTGAATGATTGTTAGGAAATAATTGAAATTCGTTACTGAGATATCGTTGCAAATTGAAGTGTCGAAGCGGAATAATTAAGATACTAGAATTTGGTGCCTGGTGAAATGAAAACTCAAATAGAGTTTATTAGGCAAATATGGAAGAGGATGGAAAGTTGTTTACATAACTGATTGGACACAGCAGCGCAGCGATGCAGCAAATTCGATTACTCGAACATTTCGTTTCTGTTAATTATCTCTTGTCCCAAAACTTTAACAAGCGACTATTTATAAGTTTTAACATCTCTTGATCGTGTAAAGCGAAAGATTTATTTGCTACAAACAAACAAGACAACAAACAGGGATTGAATTATAGTCCCACGTCGACATCAAAAAAAAGATACGTAATTAATGACGAGACTCTCGTACAAATGATATTCTTATAAAAATATATTGTTTAAATTGAAAAGTTAAGAACTACAAACGAAAAGAAACACGCGTCTTACGTTGTTACTTAATACATTTTTAGATCGGTAATAAAATGTAATGAAGAGCGTGTCGGTTTGAATCGAAACTGCTGTAAATAAGCGGAGTTACATGTTTCGTCTATGTTTAGGCAGTGAAACGTTAAAAATAGTTTCGGTCTGCAAAATTATTACGAGGGCAAACTCGATAAATATGCTCATAGTTATACGGGACGACGTGTTCAAGGTTCCAAAGTGGAGCAAAACGCTTCTATTTATATTCTATGACACTGTATGTAATTTTTTACGGATCATTAACAAAAAATAAATATGAAAGAAAGCATTTGCAAATGAAATAATGGAATAACTCAGACAGGTAATAATGACTTTTATAAACAAATTTCATTAACATCAAAATTGCATTTTGTAAGTGCAGTATAGAAATTTAGCTGGTCCATTGTTCCGTAAAAAAATTGAAACAGCAAAAAAGATTGCAAATTGAAATTGATAGCTCCTTTAATAAAAATACTTCTGCGTGTTCTGCAACTTCTCGTCTTCGTAGGGAAACTCCGAGCGAAACCTTTCAATGGGTTTATGGCATCAATCAACTGATTATGTAAGACTTTTTCAAAATGTGGCTATTACTTCGACATCATTTATATTGTTTATTAAAGTATAAATAAATTATTAGTTTTTAAAACAACTTTTTTAACATAAAACAATTGAAAACACTTAAAATAAGATTAAATTAGAAAAATATTAAACCAAGTCTCAAATTTAAAATAAAACTCGGAAAATATCAATAGTAAAAACGTTCTATGTATCAAATTGAAACATCTTAAAATAAAATTCAATTTATGTCGGATGTAAAAGCGTACACCAAAAATAATATATAATTCAATGTATCAATTACAAACATTCTAGTAAGTTTGTATAAAAAGGGAAACGAAAAAGTTTAAATCGATTTCTGAAAATACTCCCATCGAGAAAATTCTTCCACAAGTCAATCAAGAATATTGTAACATAAAGTGAGAAGAGCGTTGAAGGCAGTAGCCTTCGATATTCTCGACACTCTCGTCTCTATTTTTGCAGACGATGAGTGAATTGCGTTGTCTCAAACTTAATGACAGCCTCAAAAGTAATTGAAAAAAAAACTAATTAGGACTATTTACAATATATATTTTACTATTTCAGTAATTATATACAAATTATATACTTCATACAAATTTGGTATTCTAATAATTGATTTGAAAGCCTGTAAGTCTATAATTAAAACAGTTGTAAATTTCGAAAAAAAAAACGTAATTAAGCAATTAATTCCATTCGTAATTAATTTTTAAATTGATTTAATCAGTGTGTTGAAATATTTTGTAACTAATTTTTTTCGTTTCCTAATTTATAATATTTTGAAATTTATTTATTACCTGCAATTATTGCTACTAAGACATTTTATTTCTTTATGTTCTGTTTTATTTAGCAATAAACTATGATTGCTATTATTACAAAATTTATTTAATCTTTTGGTTAATAGAAATTGGACTTTGAAACAGTTATTTACAAATTAGATATTGATCATTTTATTGTACAATTTTGGAGTTGAAAGTTGGAAGTTTATGTATATTATATAAATAATTTACAATTATATTATTTACTTGTTCTAAAGTGTTATTTGCTAAAACAATGACCAAACCAGCAAAGGTAAGTATACATCGGTAATGCTATTGTGAACTTACATGGTTTTGAA